TCTTGAAATTTCCCAACAGAAACATGAGAATTTCGTTGGGTTTCATTGTTAACAAATTTTTCTGATAAGCCGCTAGAAGAACGGGCCCAAAAAAACCGAATAACCAACAACAGAACTCCTACCAAAATACAAACTCACACACACACACACAAGTATCAGCTTTTGGATTTTTCTTGTCTAACCTTTTTCTATTTTTCCTATACAAAACACGTCCATACGCAAAGAACCGTTAGCAACGAATGAAAAATAGAGAGGGTTTAGTATGTTGTACTACCCACCGAAAGAGTGAGAGAGGGCGACATAAAAGAGCGGTTATGCGAAAGAGAGAGATAAAGAAAGGAGGCAAACAAACAACAATATGTATGTTAAATATTGGGGAGTTGTTGCTGGAATTCCCCCACTTTAGTAAAATAACTGTAAAAGTGTAGGCATTTCATTCATTCCAAAAGAGAGCGAGCGGAAGAGAGGGAGAGCAAGAGAGCGACGCACGCACCGTAAGTTCGTGTTTATTTTATCACAAGTTTTCTTTATTTTTCCTTCGGTTACGTGTGCGTAGTAAGAAGAGAGAAGAAAGCATTTCCACCTTCGACTTATGGTCTTAACCAAAACTTTCGCCCCACCCTCACTTTACACGCAGCGAAATTATACCTAATGAGGATCACTTAAATAAATTACACAAACTAACAAAAAATTACTAACGATAAGTTGATTGAAGCCAGAATTTTTGATTATATATAAAATTCTTTTTAATAAGATTTCTTTTTATCACCAAAAAAATTGTACATATTCCAAACCCATAAGCAAGGTTTTTATCAGCTTTCCAAAATCGTACACATAGTTTGAATCAGCCCCCCAATATTTACTGTTTCTTATGAAAAAACAAACATGCACTTAGAGAAAAAATATGTATAATGGCAACTATAAGTTAATTTTTAAAACATATGAAAACATAAATTTAAACACTAACACTAATACCCAATAATGTTATGCTTGCTATATCTATATATCTCTATCTTCAATATAAGTTTTCCTGCATTTGTTCTAGAATTGTTTTGAGTGCACCCCCAACATTCTTGATAACCAGCATTTTAAATTTATCGAATATGCAAAGTATCTTTATGGGGAGAGGGTTTCGAACGGGGGGGGAGCAGGGGGCATCGGTGCGTGTGTGGATTGTATCTTGTAGCTGACGGTCGATGGATGTGACTCAACTGCAACGCTGGTTGTTGTTTTTGTGGTTGCCGTGACTGCATTTTGAAGTGCATTCAAAAGTTTATTGTCTGCCTTTTTATGGGTTTATTAACTTTAGTTTGGTTCGGTTTGCGCTTTGTCATTTTCCGTTTTTTATAAGATAGGCCTCTTCTATGTAATTTTATAAGCTGAGCTATTTAAGGCTTAAAATATTATTACTAAAGTTTGTAAAAAGTCATAAATATAAAATTGGAATACGTGCTCAATTGTCATTTTCTTTGTTTCTATATCGAAGAAAATCCCAAAAAAAGGATTAAATTAACTTAAAAAAATTAAATTGATTAGATAAGGAAGATAAGAAATAGAAGGCGAAGTTATTCATTACCAAAGAGCAATCGTTCAACTATTCAATAATTCTATAAGCTGATTAAAATTGTCTTGATAAAAATGTTCTAAATTCTAATTTTAAACTAATTCCGGCAACTTTTTAAGCCAAATCTCTTCATTTCAATTCTCACAATCGAGTTCTACTTTTATCTGGGCTTTCTCTCAATGGTTCAGTGAAGTGAAAGGGTTTCCCGCTGTGCAGTTGTTTTTTGGTCAATTTTACAGCAATTTAATTTAGTTTCCGTTCTACCAAAGAGTTCAACAACCCGATGAAGTAAAATTGTTGGAATAATGCCAATTTTCTAACCAATTTTATGGTCGTTTGAGGTCTTGTTATTGTCCAATTTATTTGGATGCAAATAGTTCGGATTTGTTAGTCATATGCCGGCTTCAATGATCTCGCATGACTAATACAACCCACTACTAATATAAAAGTATTCCTCTTCGCTTCTCAACGTATCTCACAGACGATCATTGATGATGCTCACCGCACTAAAATGTTAATTAGCTTGACCAGCAAGCTTTGCATTCCCATTATCTTTGCACTTTATGGGTATTCACGTAATTGAAGTATTTTGTTTTTTATTTAAATTATTTTTTTTTAAACTATTATTAAACAACAGTATCTTGTAAGTATATAAAAAAAGGTTCAAAATGATATTTTATTTAGGAAATGTTGGGACAAATTTAAACTCAACTTGCACAGCATAACAGCAGATATATTGTTAAAAACTAATTTTAAATCAATTATAATAATAACTCTCTTGAGCAAATTGCCGTAAATAAAATAAAATTTTAAGCAATTATTAAGTGCAAGCAAACCCTGAAGTACTGGGTATTGTTTAGTCTTTCAACTTGTTGCTTTATCTTTTACTTTTATCACTGGATTTAATAATGCACCGGGAATATCGTTTTGTCTTTGTTTTGCCTTTTCTTATCTACGCCAAATGATTGATAATACGCCACTTCCTTTTACGTATGCGAAAATGTTCTTTTAATTCACTTTTTCCACGTTTTCTTTTTATTACCGACTTTGTGTAACCAGAATGGCAACGCGTCATCGGCTTCTAAATTCAATTGCCAGTCGAATGACTAATGCGGAACGGAAGTAACAGAGGAACTACGACAGGAACTGGTGGATAGGGAACAACCTGTCTATAAGGAGGGGATGCAAAAACAAGTGCAACCAACGTTGCGGCTCGCTGAACGCATCAGCTCAAAAGTTGCAGTTGCAGTTTATTGGCCACAAACGAATGCGAACACAAAATAAAGGTAAAATTGCCATAGATGGGGCAATTAGTTGCTGCCAAGAAAGCGTGCAAAAATAGCAACCAACAGAGCAACAGGTAACAGAATTTTCGGATCCAATCTTTATACTTCGGTGATTTTCTTTTAGCTCAAAAAAATTATTAGAAAAATGTACTGCTCTAAAGAAGTACCAAAAGTCATACAAATTTGTTTTATTTATATTATTTCTTCAAGTTAGGGAAAGGTTCAAACTAAATCTTTCCTGGTTAAATTAAAAATCAAAGTAACATTATTTGCTTTTATCATAAATCGGTCATATATGTTATCATTGAAAGAACCTATTTTTAAGTGGAACATTTTTACAAATATGATTCTTCCACTCCAGAAGTCTATCTCTTTTAAGCCGTAACTTAATGCGCGTCTTGTATGTTTTCTTTGTGTACTCCACTTGGTTTTGCACAGGTATTGGTGTGTTTGGTAATACTTTTTTTGGTGCTACCACCAACACAACCTCACTTTTTGGCCCAAAAGCTTTGGCTTTTCACTCTTTTTCGGTTTAAAATATCTTGTATAGCCACTACTTTATTGAAGATATTTGGTTATATCTTAGAAGATGTTATTTCACACGTTTCAGAATAGATTTGTTAGCTTTTTAAAGGCGACGCTTTTTGCATTTAAGGCGCGGTCAGCCAGCGATCACTCACACTGTGAAGAACCGACTGTACGTATACGTGACAGCCAAGAGAAAAAACAACAAAGCACCGTTGAGATCAATATGTTACTACTGCCAAGCGTTATTTTTTCCCGGTTTCAAGCGCACACGTCCAACATCGAACACCTTGTGAACCGAACTGGGGAATGGAATACTCAAACTCTGAATAAAAACCGAACGTTGAGCGGCACTGAGCGCATTGAGTTCGCCAGAGAGTGGCTAACCGTCATTCAAAGTGGCCAAGTAAGCCCATCTGGCATAAGTTAAAAGCCCGGAGAAGCTTTGGTTGACTCTCAAACGTCACTCTCTCAGTTACCTTGGCCGAAATGCCGAAAGTGGCCAGTGCAGTGGCCAAAAGCTTCGCGCTCCAGCCACAAAACAGAGTTGGTTACTTGACCTGTTGCTGTTGGTTACCGGTTAACAGAAGGCGATCTTGTGGGTGGCTTGTGGATCTGTTAAACCACAGTCAAATGTTACAAAAGTTCGGAATTGGCTTTTATATCAAGGAATTAAAGATTTTCATGGTTTGTATTATAATTACATAATATTGTATATAGCTTTGGGTTCCAGTCTCAAAATAAAGTTGCTTACTTGTTCCTGTTTTGAATATGGTTTGAATTTATTATATTATGTTTAGTTATGTCGATGGCTTATTTTTAAACCAGATCGTTCAACCGTTCCTTACCAGTCCTTGTTTAAGGCACCTGCAGATAAAGTATATTGAATATAATTATTTTATGGTTATAGAAGTCAAATAATTATGTACAAATTTTCGTCCGATTGTCGAATCGCCTCTTAGTGATTCTCATTAATAATTATTTTGTCCAAAGTTCAATGTGATTAATCAAAACTTGAAATACTCACGGTAAATTTAAAAATTATGTCGAATTCGGTCTGTTAAATGTTGAATGATCCACACAGTGGCGCCAGTTGTTGCAGTGGTGAGAATAGGTTCTAAATAATCTGTAGTAGCGCCATCTACGCACTTGCAGTTGACTACATATCTTTTAACACCATGTGAATAACTGTTTTTTGAATATTTCGGAACATTTACCAAGGTATTTGATTTCATCTTTAATAAAACATATTTTTATTACATTATTACCTATTTTATTTATATTTTTTAAAAGTTTGAACTAGCATTTTGTTTTTAAAAATTAAATACCTTAAAATGTATATAAAAATCTATGTTTTTGTTTCAACAACCAACTAAAACTCTTCATTAAATATTGCCTTCTGCATGACACATAAATTTGGTAAAATTGTTTTGTTTAATTCTGAAAAGACACAAGATAAGAAAATGAAGCTAAGCTAAAAAGTTACAACATATTTTAAGGCGATTTAAATGTAAAATGTAGAATAAATAATTAAATATATATTTGTCGAACATTAATGTATATTTCGTTTTCAATCTTAGGACTCCGTTGAAGATACTCATTTTCAACTGACAAACGGGCGAGTGAGGATATTTCAGTCGACATCTCCTAACAGTGGCATATGTTTCTTTGAAAAAATTTAGTTTCTTACAATACTAGTCCCAACGAAATGGAGGAGCTGTCGAAGGAGGAGCAGGACCTGCTCAAAAATACATTCAAAATCTTGGACAAGGAGAACGAGGGAGCCATTACCTCCAAGGAATTGGCTGTGGTGATTCGCGGACTTGGTCGCCAGCCAATCGAATCCGAGGTGCAGTCCATGATAAATGAGGTGGACTCGGATGGAAATGGATCCATCGCGGCCGCCGAATTTTGCGATGTGATTTTGCGTAAAATGCGCGACACAAGTAAAGAGGAAGAGTTGCGCGATGCTTTCCGTGTTTTTGATAAACAGAATAATGGCTACATTTCCACCACCGAGTTGAGGAACATCTTTGTAGGACTTGGGGAAAAAGTGGGCGACGACGAGCTGGAAGAAATGATACGCGAGTATGACATCGATCAGGACAATCACCTCAATTTCGAGGAGTTTGTTAACATGATGACCTTGCGTTAGCCTTCACAATATAATAATACATGCTTTATATACATTTTGCACTGATAAAAAGTAAAATGTTATTTGATAACAATATGACAAAAAATAATATATGATTATAAACATAAAATACGTTTTGTGTATTGCATAATAATTTAATGAATTTCTATCTCAAACATCAAAATAAAACCAGAAAACGAGGGGTCTTAGATTGCTTTACCATATTTTAAACTTTTATCTAGCTTTGAACTATTTCTCATCATACCAACAAACATATTTAAAAATCAATTAATAATAAATAACGCGGGTAAACTCTCAAGCGGAATTTATTTTTAAAATTTTTACATATTTTATCAAAACAGTCCCTAAAATATTTTCTGTAATAAATATATATATAAATCACTAAGCTTCGATTGATATATACATTTCTGTGATATATTTATTAATATATTTAATTGGATTGATAGGATTGATAAGCCCTCAATTAATTTTATTTTAATTGTCAGTTAGACAATACATTTTAACTACAAACATGTCCACAACAATGTATATGATAAATTACATACATTTTTATGTTATTCTTTACGTTTTATTTTGAACAGTTTATTATTTTTAAGTTGTTGAAATCGTACCACTGTTCTACACATCTACCATTGGAAAATATTTATATATATATATTCTTTAAAATGTAATTAGTATATAAAAAAAGCCTTTTACGCCTTTTTGAGAAAGATATTCAAGCATTCTCACGCAAAGTGTTTGGCAAACAAATCACGTGCTTTCCTGGACCTCACTCAAATGATATCATCTGTCGGAGAAACTCTGCGGCTTTACGCGAAATATTTTATAGTTAAACCAAAAAATTTGATGTCATCAGTGGGAGAAAATGGTCGCATATTCCGACCATTGAGGAAATTCCAGGAAGCCTGGTGGTGATGACAATTTACGTGGCATTTTGTAATTGAACTTTCTACGTGTTCGAGTGGTGTACTTCGATTTGAGCCCCGTCCACCGATTATAGTCGATTTGAGTCAATGCTAAAGGCGTTGCCACAAACCGCAAACTGTCGTGTCTAGGAGGTCGGGGAGGGGCCTCGAAACGTGCCCGAAGTATTATTACCGCCGTCTGTGATTGATGGCCTTTTGCGAGTGAGTCAGTGGATTTTTATAGCTCTACGCAGATCTCTTCCTTTCAATCAAACAGCAAAAAATCTGGACATCGATCTCTCTGATACTAGCGAACTCTATTTCAAATTAACTACACTGGGAAACCTTAGAGTTCTTAAAGCTCTTCAACGATTTAAATATTATTAAATAATAAAAGTAATAAAAATATAACTCAAAAATATGTTGCTTATTTGGGACACAATTTTATTAAACCGAAAGCCAAATATCTGGCTTGGTTAGTTATGATTGCCAATCAGCCTTAAAATTACAGAAATAAATTCATATGCCGTTCCTCAGATCCGTTAAAAATAAAATCAAACACACCAAACGTTCAATATTAATGCAAACTTTATTTGAAATAAACTAACTCGCTATGGTTTGAATAAAATCATTTAAAATTCAAGGAAGACCATGGAATGCTATGGGGACTGCTTACATAAACTACTACAAAAACTCTTAAAAAATATGCCTACATTACATTATAGGTTCAACTGGAATGTTGCTTGTAGTTTTGATTTCGTTTAATGCTCCTCTGTCTTACACATAACTTTTACTTTCAACCATTTTTTTCCCTACAGCAAAATCGATTTACGATTTTGTTTACTCATTAAGATTAGCTTACCGGATAGGGAAACATAAATAAAAACTTGGAATTCACTCAAACAGCAACACTTAGTGTTGGGCCACGCATAAAAAACTAATCGATAGACTCTCTCGTACTACAGGCTTACACTTTAAAATGGGTAGATTTAAGCTATGTTCTATAAAATGCAACAATTATCGCTTATAGGGGATAGTAACTGTACTTAATTCTAAGTTTAGGCTTATTGCCTTGCCTAGACATTGTACTAAAATGTACTAAAACGTAGCACTAAATTAATGTTTAACGTGCTTGTGGGTCCAAATGGGGAATTACCCTCGTTTGGCCATTGGGAACAATTTTTTGTTTTGTTTTGTTTTTTTTTGTAAAAGCGCAGATTTTCAATTCCATTTCGATGGAAATTGGCGTATTAACATTTCAGATTTCAAGCAAATTACACCTGATCAGAGTTTTGAAAATAGCAAAACTAGATCTTTAAACAAATTTAAAAGTTTTAGGGATGGTGGTTATTTATAACCTCCTGAAGTGCAATTACTCTTTTCAAGTGATTTGAAATTACGCAATACTTTTGACAAATAGTTATCTTTACATGGAATGTAGTAATTTGGGGATTTTTTTATTTTTTTACTTGAAATGTTAATGTTTATTTAAAATAAAAAATAAAAAATCTGGAATGCTGCCCGAAAGTAGGCAATACAACTTTCAAATGCCTAGATATTTCTGATAAATAGTTTTATAGTTAATGTTGTTGTATTTCAATTACAAATTGATGTTTTTTTTTATTACGATAGAACTTCTAACGTCTCATTATATCCTCAATGCTGAAGCCCGTTCTTCTGGGTGGTGCAGGTAGTGGTGGTGGCGGCGCTATGGCTGGTGCTGTCACAGGAGGTCCCCCTGTGGTTGCTGCTGCCTTTTCACTGCTCGCTCCACCAGTCTCTGTACTCGGTGGCTTAACCAAAAGTTGCCTGGGTGGATGTCGCGACATATTCAGTGCGTATAAACTGGGATTATCCACGAACGACCTCTGACCCAAGTGGTGGGGATCCATTAAGTCCAAAGCGGGTGCTGGCAGGATCCTCTTGCGCATGGGAATCGAGCCCAAAAAACTGGGCATGGCCTCGTGTGGTGAATGCAAAGGTTGATTGGGTGGCTTACTCGCTTCCGATTGGGTGATTATAGTGGGTGGCGTGGGTGCGGGTGCACCCTTCGAAAGGTTCAAACTCTTGTGGTGCAAATCGCGTCGAACATGGAGAATGGGTAAATAGGGATCTCCGTTGGGTGGCAGTAAGTGGGGATGCCCCTGGGCGGGGTGATGGCTGGGTGGTGGTGCTGCAGTTGGTGGTGCTCCAGCTGGTGGATATCGCACAAAGGATGCTGGCATAGGCAGGCTCAAAATGCCAGGGTTTGCCATCTCTTCCAGCTGCTTTTCGCCATGTGGTCGCATTGTGTAGGTCTCGCCACCCTCATGATGACAATGGGTAACGCCCTGGCGTTCCGGCTTGCCAATGGCCAAACCCAGACCCAGACCCACTGTAGAAGTTGGGGGCAGAGACGTTGAGGCTGCTGCTGCTGCTGCCCTGCCCGCTTGGAATCGAGCCACCAGAGCCACCTCCGCCTGTTCCTCGTCCTCGGCCTCGGCAAAGTCCTCCTCATCCTCCCTACTGGCCAGTTCATGAGCTTGTGGCATGTCCGGCAGCTCCTCTTCCTCATCGAACTCGTCGAATTCCTCTTCACTCTCCTCCTGATCCACAACCGCCTTACGCTTCAGTCGCATTCTTTCGCTTTCCGACTTTTCCGCTGCACCCAAATTGTGCACTGGCGATTGGCGTGGCGAATCCACCTCCAGCAGCGAGTCCTCTTCGTCACCACTCAAATTTCGGGCCTCATCTTCCTCGCCGACATCCACAAAATCACCGGAATTCACCTCACCCACTGCATGGGTCAGGGCATGGCGTCGCAGATCGCAATTGCGACGGAAAACTTTGCCGCACGACGAACACTCGTAGGGTTTGTGGTCCGTGTGGGTGAGCAGATGGGTTTTTAGGTTGGAGCGCTGATTGAAGGATCGACTGCATACGGGACACTTGTGTGGCGACTCCTCCATGTGCAGGATCTTGTGGACAGCCAAAGTCCTCGATTGGCAGAAGCCCTTGCCGCATTCCGTGCATTTGAAGGGTTTCTCCTTGGAGTGGATGTACCTGGATAAATAAAAGTTGAGAAAATAGGGAAAAGTTAGACATTGTTTAAAGTGCGTTGAAAGTTGAAAGCTATCTCTGCCAAAGTTTACTCCCAAAATAGGGCTTTGCATACCCTTACTACAAATAATTAAAATTTAATTTCATTTAAAAAGCCATGAAGTCATGCTCTGTATACCCTTACTTAGGATATAAACAATTTTTTTAATTATACCAAAGCGAGAGCTTTATTAAATTATCTCTAAGAGTAAAAAAGAGGGGCAAACATAATTTTGAACAGTGATCACTTAAACTTTGATTACTCGTATACAATAAATTTCAAAAAGTTACTGAAAATGTTTTCTTAACTTTTGATAATTTCCTAATATTTCTTTATTAGAAACCCTTTAAAAGAGCAATTGAAATTCTCCAAACTCCTTACAACTGATAGGGTATTTAACTGTTGGGTCTGCGATCGATCGCCTTGCATTAATTTTTTGAATGTTTATGGCGGCCATCTTGGCAATGGCGTCCACTTGTTGTTCACCAGCAGCCGCCTCAGTTAAAAGCTAAAGTCCCCTCAGATTTAGATTCAGATTCAGCATCGCATCGCATCGCTTCGCAGGCAGCAGCAGCTGCTGGAAAAAAAAAATATAAACCCAAAACAGGTTCTGTCTGCTCTGGGGCCCCGAGATTCTTCTCCCATGCTCTGGTCAAAAAAAGTAAAAAAAAGTAAAAAAAAACGAAAATAATAAAGAAGAATTAGCCCCGCGGCAAAGCAAACAAACGACAAATGGACCGATACCGAACGATCAAAAGACAGAACGCTCGGACAGACCGACACATGGAAGTCGTCGGTAAGATGGAGACCTGCTGCCTGGCATCGGGATATAATATATATAGACCCGATACATAACCCCCTCCCCCCCACATCCCTCAATTTTAATGCTGTGGTGGAGGAGCCCCAAAGGAAAACCAACAGAGTTAATTAACTTTGTTGTGCTGCACTCTTTGGCCAAGATGGAGTTTCACTGGCAGTCGTAGGAGCTCTGATTTCTGGATCGTTTTGTGGGGGAAAACTCATTTGGGTTGGGGTAGGAATATTCTTCAGATATTCTACTTGTTAAAATGGGTCTTAAAGTCGAAAGCGATTCAATAAAAGTGCTTGCTTTGAAGCAGCTATCTTATATTACTTAAATAATTTTAATGGATTGTTTAATATTAAAAACAAAAGACTTAAGCATTTATCTATGTACATATGTACCTACACTACACTTTAAATATATTTTGCTGTGAATTTCAACCATTGCAATTGTTAGTTTGTAAATAACTATTTTCGGGAATCGAATTTAAAATTAAACCATATATAAATAAAATGCATTTAAATCAAATAGGAACTATTTTAAATCTTATATTATCTACATAGACTAGAAAATTATAACTTTTGTCAGGCAATTTAATAAGCGTTAAATTTTTTATTTAAAATTAAATTTTGATTGTAATAGTCAGATATTTATATTAACTATTCTATTTTTTTATGAGTGCACAAGCCTTAATATAAGAATCAAATTTTGTTGATTAAAATATAAGTTTAGAACTAGCTAAGGGTATTACCACATTCGCCTTCTTAATGCACCATCAAGCTTAAACATATCTGCAGGCCTGAATGGCAATTACCCGATCCAGACACTCCCCCCTTTTGTGTTTTGTTTGTGTCTTTTTTTGTGCATCCCCCGAACTCACCTGTGATCCCTGAGGTGATCCTGTCGCCGGAACGCCTTGCCGCAGATATCACAGGAGTAGGGCCGCTCGTCGGTGTGCGTCCGCTCGTGGATGAGCAGATTGTACGACTTGGTGAACTGTCGGTTGCAGAACTTGCAGATGAATTGCTTTTTGGGCCGTGAAGCGCGGCCCGGCGCTCTGAGCAGACGCCGGTCGAGCCCGGCGTGCATGCCAGGACCCAAGCCGGGTGGAAAAAGTGCTGCGGCGGCGGCGGCACCGGGGGAAATGGAAAACTGCCGGCTCCGGTGGGCGACGGACCCGGTCCAGTGAGATATGGCGGCGGTGGGACGCCAGCGGGTCCGTATAAAACACCCGGCGGTGGCACACCAGGACCTCCTGGTCCGCCAGGACCTCTGCCCAACATGGCAGCCGCCGCAGCCGCCTCCCTCAGGGCCAACTCCTTTCGCTTGTCCGCCATCATGGCAATGATTTCGTAGTTGGAATTACTGCCCGGGCGGACTTTGCCGGTGGGCAAGACGGGCACGAAGGCGGAGATCTCACGGTGGTGCGGCGGTGGCTGCAGTCCGGCCAAATGCTGCTGATAGGCCAGCTGTGTTTCATATGCCGAGATCCGGCTGGCCGATGAATTGCGCGAATCGCCGCCATTCTGGGAGCCACCATCCGATCCTCCCGATCCACCACCATTTCTGTCCGCCACCGCACCACCACCACCCACCGCAGCCGCAGCCGCCGCCATCGAGGTCATGAACTGATCCATTCGGGAAGGTCGCATCATGGGTATGGCACCACCGCCACCTCCTCCTCCGCCGGAGATCTCGCTGGCTGAGCTTTCCGTGGGCATTTTCGTGGAGGAGACTCCTCTTCACATTCCGTTGGAACTGCAAAAGATAGGCAGACAACACAAGTAAAAAAATGTGAAAATTAAATAAGGGTAGTGGCATAAATAACAATTAGTAGACGATTGTGGACTGGCTTAATTGGGCTCTCGTTTTTTTGGGCTTATCTTAATTGCGAGCCAAGTGCAATAAACGGTTATTTGTACCCCGCTTTTTTATGGCCCCTAAGGTAGTACGGGGTATGATAAGCCACCTCGTTTTAGGTAAATATATTCAGGATGATGAAATTTAAAGATTTTTAGACACACTGAATGTTGGCAAAAAACATATTTTTGAATATGACTTTTTAATTTGGGGATCTCAGATTTTAAGTATGACTTTAAGCCAAAAAAAAGCAAGTCAAAATATTTCATCGAAAATAAAATATATATAAAAAGTCACCAGTATCAGAAGATTTATCTATATCTATATTATCACAAGTTAACATAATATTTCAAAAATTTTTGTTCTTAAAAATAGAAAAAAAAACACTGCCACAAACCCTCATTCCTTTTAAACAGAAATAGTTAAATTTTTAAGACAATGCAATTGCATGTTCAATTTAACCAAATATTGCGAAATGCTGTCATTATCTGAACCTATTGTAACTCACTTTTAATACACCCCAAGTTCTTCAAATTTGTTTTTGACACTTCTTATCGGGGAAATTAACACATTTAATGGCTTTAAACTTGCAAATATCACAAAAGCACAGATAAACACATCACTTTAAAGCGTTTGAGCAAGAATTTAAACACGTGAATGTGATTTACTAGATCAGTATAGTAAATAGAAAATCATTTTCCTGGAAATTACCCATACGATATAGAAACACAATATATTTTCACAGGGTAACAAAAAAGTTTATCACATTATGGCTTATATTTTCTGATGAGTTTTGTATTATTGTTGCTTTTGCTGTGTTTTTGTTGGTTTTTTGTTGGCTTATCATTATCAGCGGCGGACTGCCGACGACGAGGAGTGAAACTAAACTGAAAACGAGTCGCAGTTTGGCACCGCGATCGGGGGCTTCCAGTGCGCAGGTTAGATAAGATTGTGCGTCTAAAAAAAACCTGCCGCCGAACCACTGAGTCTGAGTAACAAGGGGGCCCCAGCACAGTAGTAACGATATAAACACACACGGAACACGAAACACACACTCACACTGGCAGCATTCTCTCCTCCAACCAAGATATATAGTATATCGGCAGATACTCTGGCCCTCTCAGATACAGATACAGTTGCAGATACAGATACATATACAATTGCAGATACAAAGACATACTATAGATACAGATACAGAGAAGCAGGCAGCCAAGTTGCCGTCGGTTTTGGTAAATGACTCGAACCGAACCGAACTCGACCGACTGCTTACTGGATTTACGCAACAGGAGCCTCGACTTCTGAGTGCCTCGAAAATATAACTCGACGGGGGGAGAATAAATCGACGGGGGCAGGGGCCTAGCAACCCGAAACGTGATCATCACGATAATAACAAAATAATGCAGATAATAATGATCACAATGATGGCCCGAACCATAAAATATGTGGGCCCCATCTTACAAACGCTTGTTTCTGCCATTTTATTGCGCTGCACAGGAAAAATGGAACGAAATGGGGGTCAATTTTGTTTTTAATGAAATTTGTAATAAATATATGTAACTAATTCTTCAATATGTTATATTTCTAACCATTATGAAGTGATTAGTTCAAGCCAAACTTCAGAAATATATATATATTGTAAACAAGACCAAACATAAAATAAGAAAATAAGAAAATAAGAAAATAAGTATATGTAACTACAATTTTATAAAAGGTAACTAATTTATTTAATTTATTAGTCTTAAAAGTATTTATAATGTAACTCTATCTAATAAAGTATTATAGAATTCAAATAAATTCCACTGTCTTTCAAAGGCTTTTATGAAAATGATTATGATATACATTTTAAATAGAAGCATTATTTTTAAATAAATATTTAATTAAAAAGTGTTTAAAATTAAACTTTTTATTCTGAAAAAAATTATAGTTTATATATATATATATATATAGTATATTATGTATAAAATTCCTTTGTTTTTCAATGGCTTATAGGAAAATGATTATGCTATGATTTTTAACCATACAAATAAATAAATTGAACTGATTTTTTCCTGTGCACTTTTCTCATTTAAAGTTATAACCAGTTGTGCGAAGACAAAAAAAAAAAACAGCATAAAAAATAACCCTGCTGTCGGTGCAATGACAGTTTTGCTTATCATTTGCTAGAATCGTTCTGGCTGTCTCACTTGATTTCAATGCAAAATGCTGCAACGTCATCAAGATCAACATTAACATTCAGCCAACATCAAGCAAAGTGATCGTCATAGTTGGTTAACAAAAAAAAGCTTAGCCAAGATTTTGTGGCAGTTGAAGAGGCGCGCATTGTTGGAGATACCGTTCCTTATTTTTTTTTTTTTTTTTTTGATGACTAGCTCAGGAATTGTTGGCATTGTAGAGGTCTTATCTATGGAAATAATTTTTAGTATTGTCTGGCTGGAGAGTGCGCTGTCAGATTAGCTCTATAAAGTAGCTGAAATCATGACTTGATCATGAGTATATCATTGATACAGTCTTTAGGGAAATGAATCTGGGTAGTTTGTGTAGTTCAAGTGGGAGATTAATTTAATCATTTAAGTATTAGCTAGATGTGGGAAGGCATTACCTAATTCCGTAAAAAAAGTATAATAATCTTAAGGCGTTACGCAAAATGGTTATATCTTATTTTTAAAATCACTATTTAAATTTCAAAAATGGGAAAAAAATAATTAATGGGTAAATGTTAAATAAATAAATATTACTTTATTATTTTAGTAGTGTCAATAAAATGCTTTGAAAATTGAGAACTAGAAGTCGACCACATTTTATAACTTCCAATCCTTACCACACCCAACCCACGATTTCTTCATTCCAGAAGCACATGCCAAAGTATTTTTCACTTTTATTAGATAGTAATTGGATAATGCGTCTACTCCAATAGCATTTGTTGATTTCTAATCTAACCCAGGCGAGTTCTCCTGCCCTAGCTGATAAGTTGTCGCCTTCTATCTATATTGGATTCAATAAAGCATTTATCTGATCTCTTTATGACACACTCGACTCTAATCTAATAAATCCCCCAACATGCCCAGGCTGATATAATCAGCGGACTCTTTTTTCTTTAGATGAGCGATTGCCCCGTAATATGTCATTCGATTACGATCCCGATAATCCCCCTACCAATTTCAGCTCACGTATTTCTGGTAGCCTCGAAAAAACAACAGCAAAAAAAAAAAAATAGTGTAACCCGTTTTGGGTTTTGGGTTTTCGTTTTTGTGATTTTTTCGATCTCGGTACTTTTTCTAGGGTTTTTGTTTTCTCACTTTTGCATTTACGACCCGCTTGGACCCACGTTTTGCCCCACGCACACCCTGTGCACATACAATGTACAATTCAGCGTTCATTATCTTTTCTGAAACATCGGCACTTTTGAAAAACGTCAAGCCAAATAAGAAAAACAAATAAAATTCATGTAAATAATGGACATCATCAGCAAAAGCGACGGCACGTAGACTGCCGTAGAAATATTGAGAGAGAGTTGTGCTGTGCGCACACATACAGATACAGATAAAGATATAGATGCGGAGATACAAAGATACTCGAACTGAAAGATCCACAGTTACAGATACACCGAAACGTTTGCGCAAACGGTTGCCCAGCAAATGAAGCCAAAGGCTTAAAGTTCCCAATATATGTGCGTCTTTGGGTGCACAGGAAAAAATTATTTGTCATTCTATTATGTCAGGTCAAGGTCTAAACAAAAAAAATTCAAATAATAATCATAAGGAAGTCGTTTTTCTAAATATGCCTTCATTTTACTTAAAGATTTTATGGATAATTCTTTATCGTATTTAAAATCGTTAATATACCGTTAATAATAAAATTATAATTAAAAGATTATATATTAAACCTATTCACATTTTCATGGTATTAGAAAAATAGTAAAATTTATTTTAGTAACAAATAATCCTAAGGGATAGTACTCGGGTCTTAAAATCGTCCTAATCAAATAATTAATTTAATAATCTATTTTCTCTAAGCATTTGTTTGCGGATATATTAAATTGAAAACTAAAATTAAAAACTTTAGTCCACTAATAATACAATTGGTAATGTTTTACATTCTAAATTATTAAAATATCTCAAAAAAAAAGCAAATATTGTTAGAAATCAATTAGAGTTATACCACAAGCTGATCGATGATCTCATTTCTTTCTCTGTACAGTACATATAATAAAAAGAGCCAGAAGACCAACTACTGCTGGTGGAAAATAAAAGATATCGAGGAGCAATTTGGCTGCCACTTTTTTTCCCTCCTCAGTCTTGCTTTTTTTTTCTTCTTCTTTTGGGTCCGGGATCGGTTCGTTTGCTGGGTTTTTGTGTGTAAACATCTGAGGCCAGCAGAAACTCAGAAACGCTGAAACCCAGGGCCCAGCAGAGTGAAAAGGTTTCAGTTGATAAAAATGAAAAAAAAAAAACAGAAAAATATACAAACACACAGACGACGCACACTGGGCAAACGGATTTAGTGTTTGTATAGAAAACGCAGAGAGTTGAGGAGGCGAGTTTGTCCCTCTGATGATGGCCTACGATGGTTGGAAATGTCCATGCGTTTTACTGCCCATTGCTGTGGGTGTTAAACGGGGTATATCGGGTTTCTTTAAGCATGCAAAAGTGATTCATTAAAAACCAAGTGATCATGCTTTAAATTGAAAAAAACTTGGTAGAACTTTGTTATAAAAGAGTAAAAATTATGTAAGTGGTCAGCGTTCAGAAATGATTATAATTAAATATATATCAATCCGTTTAAATAATGTATGTTAAATAATAATCAATATTATTAATGGAGCTGATAATTCTGTAAATTATATTTAAATACATTTGTTTTAAAAGTGAAGAGCCATCAAAAAAGTGTTAATAAATATATATTATATTATTTTATGAAAAAGTAAATAACTATTAAAATCCAGCATAATTTAATACAGTTATAGCGATTTAAAACCCATTTTACAATTAGAAATCTGGGAAATAAAAATACTAGCAAAAATTCAATTCCCAGGGTATTTCTGTAGTTTATCAGTAAACCTACATTTCTGAGCATATCTTCTGGACCGAGTGCTTACCGGGTCCCCATATGCACTTCAGTTTGCTTACAAAACACCAGCCAACAACAACAAACAAGCCAGAAGACGATGACGAAGGAAAGTGGAGTGGTGGGAGGAGTTTTTTCATCAGAGAAGGAGAAGGAGAATGCGTATGGGTATTACGGTTGAGGTCCAAGGGAAAAAGTGTCGGAATGCTCTTGGCCAGGCTGTTTTTAATCCCTTCGGGATACCTTTTCTTTGGGTGAAGGTAGCTAATAATCAAGACAACGTAAGAGGAGGAAAAACGCTGCAGACTTATAATTATAGTCGAAGAGGAGAGCCAAGAAAATACAAAAAAATAAGAAGAGGCCTGCACTTCGCATGCGTTAATCTGAAAACCCTTTCGGGCCCCCAAGCAGCATCTGAGATTATAGTCAAAGCTATTAAAAATCTAGCATAATCATTGCCCATGGTGAAAAACAAGTTGCGATGCTGTTTTATTTTTATTTTTTTTTTTAGCTCCCGAGGTAGGCAGGCGATCTTCCTTTGCGCTGCCTTGTCTATAATTTTCTTGATTAATATCCATGAGATTTACACATTTGGAGTGGCTGGCCAGAGAACCCCTTTCTGTTCTATGTGTGCTGGGCTGGCCATTAATTTAAAAGCATTGCTAATTTCGCGGGGAAAATCGGAAAACGAGCAACCGCTAATGAAGTTTTATGGGTTCGGGAATGCAGCTGCAGCAGGATTGATACCGTCGTTAGCATAAATTGGAAATGCTTTCATGTTATGACTGAAGATTTGTTAAGATTCAAGGATGGAACGATTGGACTAAGCAGAATGTCTTCGAAGGACTATGTTTAAATGATAAACTTGTTCATGTTTATATCAAAAATAATCAAAGAATATTCTAAGCAAACTTTATCACATATTTAAATTTTTTAAAACATTAATTGTAGGTAAAAATTAAAAAAAATAAATATTATAATATAAGTTTTAAATAAAATTCTCAAGCTTAGCACAAGCTTCTGCAATTATTCATTCCTCAAAATGATTTATTCTTAGTACTCATATTAAATAATAAATGTTTTATAAAATCAATTTGAAATAAAATTCTCAAGATAAGCCCAAGTTCGTACAGGTATTCCTACCTCAAATTGAAGTATTCTCGGCTTAACTTTGACTCTTTCTAAAATTAATCCCTTTGGCAGTAATCTACTTTGTATGCTAAGCCGATCTCTTCATAAATTTCTTTGGCATATTGTACTGCTCTTTTCTTTCGATCTAAAGCCATTCAAGAATTTCACCCTTGAAAAGAGCTCTTTAAATCTTTTGTTAGTGGGATTGCTACTTTTTCCAGACAATCTATTGTGTGATAATTTCAATGGGTCAATTCTTATTTATTAGAAGAGTTTATGCTAATAAGTGTAAAGGCCTTAAGACTGTGATTTATTATTTCCTTGCAATTGGATTATGAAAACTATTACTTTTCGTGATTCAAAATTATTTGAATGTTATTAAATTTAAATTCTAACATTCATCTAAGCTATGCTAAATAATTTAATATTATTAATTTTTAACCCAATCGTTTTTCAGACATCTTTAAGACCAAGGCAAAGCATAAAATGTAAGCTTTTGATCACCTTTCCGCTGTCTGATTTCGTTAATAGAATCAAATATTCATATTCCCCGGGACAACGTCTAATTTCCTCATCAAAATTGATGAGTCTCCGTTCCAGAACAACAATAAATGAACTGGTCTATCAGGTGAATTATAGACACGTGCCAAAACCAGGCGTGTCTATCGTATAACCATTTCAAATCGTATATGGCGAAACTCTAACGAACCATTGTTCCGCCACTTAATGGCCAACTAAAATTCATCAACTGTTTTGTCACGATTTTAATTAATTTCGATTTTCCTTTCAGCAAGGCAATTAGCCACATTTTCCTCCACTGTTGGTACAACTGAAAACTAAAATTGTTTGTAACCGAAAGGGGGGAGCGGAAAACCCACCCAAAGAGGCAAAATGCAATAAACTTTTATGGTACTACCATTCTTATGCTAAAAATCCATTTTGACACAAGACCAAATGGCCCATAAACCAAGACAATGAACATCCAAAATAGATCTCCACTCGGGCGGAACAAAAGCCAATAACTTTATAGAACCGCAGTCAAAAAAACACAACAAAAAATTCAAAACGAGACTGTGAGAGCGCGGGAGGCGTTTTACGAAAAGCTATGGAAAAAAAAACTACAAAGAAAATGAAATGATGGAAAAAAAAAGTAAAGCATTTAAAAGAAATCAAGAGATGTAGATGACGATGGTCTGAGGTTGAGGCTGAATCCGAATCCAAATCAGTATCTCAACCCAACAGAAGCTTGCGGCAATTGCGTTTCCTCTTTGGCCACACGTTCTGGACAATTAAAGCCCCAAGTCGGGCTCTGAATCTGAATCGAGCCAAGTTAAGACCGCGACCACGACCGAAAGCCGAAAACCGAAAAACTGAAAACCAAAAACCGGATTCAAAGCCGAGAAAGAGCGAAAAAGACGGCGAGAGCGACCAGTGGCCACTGGCACTGGCTACAAGTGAACTGGTTTACAAAGAAAAGAAACGGAGTTGGTTTTAAATCAGCAGAGAAAAACCGAAGTTTTCTATTCCCTCACAAGGCAAAAAACCACAGAAAAACAATTAAATTTTACCTATATTGAAAAATTACTTGAATAAAGAAAACTTTACTTCACTTTTTTGCTTCTCTGATTAATTATTACAATTCTACAATATTTTTCCTTGTCTAGTTCTATAATTTGGATAAAAAATATTGTTATTCAAAAGTGAAAAAGGATAACAATTAAGGCAATTAATTAATATGAATGACTTTACAAAAACGAGTAAGTCTGCAATGGGTTTTTAATGAAAAGCGAGGGGTACTTATAAGTTTAAGAATAAATTAAGTAATAATGATTGGTAAGTTAAAATCGGAAAACACATTTTAAAATATGGGATTTACTTTTTGGCCCCCTATTATCAAAAGTCAAATTGGTTTAGGAGAGGTATTTTTACCTCTAAGGATCCAGAAACCTTTTCAATATATATTTTTATTTACCATATATATTTGTACAATTATGATTTGGTGGCGCTTCACCAAATCATAATACCGATTCACAGAGAGGGAATAAAAGAGACCCCCAGAATTCCAAGCGAAGGTTTTTCGAGTCCGGCTCGAGCTGTCCAAGTCGAACTGAGCGCCATAGCAAAGCAACAACAATGCTGGCAAAGAGGGGTGGTTGGGGCTGGTGGGGGTTATGAAGAGGGGGAGGGGTGGGGGAGTGGGGCGGACTCCACTGTGGACTGTGCGGCACCACACTGAGTTCAGTGGCAATGACAGTGGCACATGCAGTTGTAGTGGAAGCCGCTTGTCGGTCGACAGTCCGCCAACCGCCAGCCTCTGTTGCCCTCTCTTTCTCTTGCCATCTCCCCGTCTCTTTCGTTTTGTGGAGCAGGTTTTGAGATACATCTCAGGTCTTTCTCTCTCTCTCTCTCTTTCTCTCCCTCTATCTGCGTACTCGTTATTTTTCTGTACTCGCTGCCTTTTTGGCCAACGCAAAAATAACAAAATAAGAAAAATAAAACAAAAATAATTAGCTAGCCCTACGACGACAAAAAAACAAACGTTAAAAGTAAAAATAAGTGCTGTGGAATTTTTGCGTTCATCTTAGTGGGCAGGGCCTGTTCTTGGCGGTTTCTTACCTGTGGGTTAAACAGAAGAAAGCCTGGGGCTCTTTCAGCTCTATCTTTGCGGCCTCAAGTATCCAAGTAGTTTTTTTGAACAACTTTATGCTTACTTGTTTTGTACTTTTTTAAGCATTCAGCATTGTTTTTTGTTTTTCAAAGTAGAACCTGTGTTTTTTAAGTGGCACTTTAACTTTGTTTTTTAATGCGCAATTTCGTAGATGAATTTGTGTAAAAATTTATGGAATTTTTATTTTCTCTTAGTTGATTTGAATTTCTGTAAATTAAAAGAAACCAATTTGGTTTAGGATTTTGTGGATAGATAATCGATTTATTGGGGCTTGAAATGTTTTTCACTATTGTTTTCAGATTTTTAAAGGTTTTTTTTTAAGTTTATGGGTTTTAATTTTTATTAAATAGTTTTAGGGCATTATGCGACTTAAAAACACGCACACAGTGGGACAATTATGAGATTCGAATCGCGACACGATCGCCATTAGGGGTGGGCGAGAGGGGGCGGCAGGGGGGCGGTTACGGGAGCAGCAGCAGCATCAACGGCAGTCAGCTACCACAAACCACGTAGTTTTTTTTTCCAACCCAACAAAATCCACGTACAACTCACGGGCACACACAAGCACAGAGTACCAGAGTATCTCACAGATACAAAAACCGAAGGAAAAAACCCGAACCGAAACCTCAGCGAACGCAAGAAAAACCGAACGAGAACGAGAGATACAACGGCAGCTGAAATGTGTTTTTCTACATTTTGTTTGAAATAGGAGCTGAAGCCAGTGCAGCTACCAATTCGCTCCTCAAGTAGTCCCAAACTCTTCCCACACACAGAGCCAGTTGCAGTTGAAAAGCGCTTTTCTCGAGGCAACTGGCGATGCAACAAGTTCACTCACACTCATACACACACACTGGCACCCGCTCAATAAGCGAGAAAAAGATACATCGGCCAAAGATACAGATAGATATAGAGCGAGAGGCACTCACAAATGCAGTTCACTTTTCCCATACGATCGTAGACGATCCGCGCGCAGGTGCGTTAGCCACGATCGAAACTCGAAGACTGAGCCACGATCTCGGAAAACCGGGCCCGAATCCCGAAAGAGAGAGCCGAGAGAAACGGCCTGAGATACGGAGAAAGAGAGGGCAACAGCCAACGAGTAGCGAGCGGGAGCAGGAAAACCTGCTTAGTGCACAGAAAAAAAAATTGTTTTTTTTTTTAATTTGCGACATAATGTTGATAGCAAATAGTTAGTAAAAACAGCTAGGCAAAAATATTGAAATTACTCTTAAGCCTTTAAATGTACAAACATAATTGAAGAGTAAAAAAGTACACCAAAACAAAATACGGAAATAAATAATTATATTTGGAATACCAAACTTATGTTCAAACTTATATTTAAACCAATAGTTTTTTCCTAGATGCTATAATTATTTACTCACTTCCCCTTTTCTTTAAAGTTAATGCCAATAGGTACAAAATATTAATTTTTCTTATATTTGGAATGCGCTTATTATAGAGTTATTTCGATTCTGATACTTAAACCTATAAATGCTTCTTTTATTACTCACTAGAATTTTAAGATTAAAATTTAAAAATGATAAATAATTTGTAAAAATTTCTAACAGTGCAGGAGAGGAATTGAACCGAACTCAACCCAACCGACCGCCAGTCGCACGCTGCCAAATGGACGGGCGGACTTGGGGACGGACTTATACCGGAGACTGGCACTGGCGGAGCATGGAACGTGCATTCGTACGACGAGTTATTGTCAGTTAGAGCGCTACCTGTTTACCGTCCGACTACCGACTACCACCGCCGACTGTTTTTTTTTTCGGCCCCGGTCGCGCGGGTACGGTAACAATTGCCCGGGTGTTGCCAGATTGCCGCCGCTGCCCATGGATCGTTATGGTGGAGGTGGGTCCGAGCACTGGCACTGGAGGGTGTAACTCTGGTAGTCCCCTGTTTATTGTTATTCCTTTTTTGTGGGGGTGTATTTTGTTCTTCGGTTATTATTGCGGTTTCGTTTAGGGGAATGACTAATCGCAAGGCGATAAGGTTTCTTCGGAGAAAGGGTTTGCAAGCGGCGATTATATCGAATTTTGGGGTGAAATAAACTTTATTACATACTTCGTATAATATTTTGATATACTGCATCGATTGTGATACCGATAAGTAAATATCATATAGGATTAATCAATTAACATTAACCATGAATTGCTGTTTTTCTAGTCATTATTATTATGATTCTTGCCACATTTATTGAACAATAAAAAGTAACTTTTATATTTCCAAATTACACTTTAACGATGACTTAATACAGCATATCATAGTTCAGCAGCCAAATCATAAATTTATTTATGGAAAACGGCTGTAAAACAATACTGGTCTAAAGCGGTAAAGTTATCGCCAGACTGACTTTTAATTATAGTAATTAGTATTTATTATATAGGTGTGAGTGTTGAAATAAAATTAAAAGCTAAAACTTTTAGTCTGAAAAGTCAAGACATCATTTATATAGAAATGCCTTTAGACTTGGATGCCCTTTTGTTAGGCAACGAAAGTTTAAACTTGGAATTTTAAATGTTGAGTCCTGCAAATTCCATAAATATTTTTTGTTAAGACCAACAATCTGGCAACATCTTCTCCCAAACCAGCATCAATTCGGTCAAGTGGTAAAAGGAAAGAAGGAAACAAAAAAGTCCAAAAATAATCGGTCAGGGTCCAGAAGGAGAGGAATCATAATGATCATGGTCGTAATGATACCGAGATGCTGAGATGCCGAAAAAGAAAACCCGAAAAGTGGCTAACAAAAGAGAGCCGGAGCCATGTAATTAGGGTGCTGCACAGTGGAACTAAATTGTGGCTGTTGCCACTGCAAAAACAGTAAATGGATTCAGATACAATGCGGCAGCCAGAAGACCAGAAGAACTATAGTAAGTGGTAGAGAAGAGAAGAGGCCAAAACGGTAGCTGCCTCATAGGGCGAGCGAATTGTTATGCTAGTCGTCGACTTCCCCCATCAACAACTGTTGCGCTTGCTGCCGCCTTTGCTGCACTTAGAAAATAATATTGCCCTGTAATGAATCATATATAAATTATATTAAGTTTGTAATTGTTCTAAAATGTAAATTTAAGACAGAAAAGTTACAAAAGTATCCATTTAAACATGATTTTATATGTATGAATATCTCCCTCATATTTACCCAAAAACAAATGAAGTTAACCTTACCTTCCATCTGCAACAATATCCACATTTTTACAGACTTAACAGTGATTTTTCGAAGTGCGCCGCAGTTAATGTTGTATCCCTCCTTGCATATTTTGCATCGCTTTACGATTTTCAAATTAGTTACTGGAAATTTGTGTAAAACATGTGGCCAACTGCGAGTTCAGCTGGTAGTTTGAGCTAGAGGTCCAAAAGCAACAGGTTCATTGATCGCATTCGAAATGCTTCGTTGGCCTCAGCAGGTAGCTGATGTTTTTTTTGTTTGGGCTGGGCCTGGATTGAATCCAATTCCGAATCGGATCGTTGAGCCAAATTAATGATGTTTAGATGCATTTCAATGCCCCCGGGCTGTCAGCAAGACACACTTTTCTCATTTGTTCTCGGTATATTCTTTATTTAATAATTAAAGCTCTTATTTAGTTTTCTTTTTCATTTGTTTTTGTTTTTGCTATCTTGCTTTCCACTTACAACATAAAATGGCTCTCTCTTGTGTATATCATATAATCAATATAATGCATACATTAATTACCTAACTTTTTGTTTAATTTGCGCCTCGCCGAATTGGAAATCTCTATTTAAAATATATAAAATATATATATATATATATATATATATATTTATGTTCGCTACCGTCTTATTAAAAACCAAAAAGAAGCTTCAAAATTGTTGCATCCTCACTCAATCTCTGTATTTTAATACTGACCCAAAAAAACAGGAAATCAGCATTTTAAAGATCATATCTTTATATATGACAAAGTAACTACTGGATTCCGAATTAATCTCTATTTTATTATTGTTTGATCTACTATGAACGTTGTGTGTGATGTGTGTTTGTGTTCCCTAAAAAATCCAACCTATCAAAAAGCTAACTAATTCTGGCTTATATCGTATAATCGCGTCTAACTAATAATCGTTTCCAATAAGGACGAAAACCGTTGTTAATTATCCACATAATGTTGTAATTTTTATTTTGTTTTTCTTTTTATGGAAGCAGCTATGGAAAATGGGAAACTTATCTCGGCCCTCGATAATGACTTTTCAAACTGATCCACTCTGATAATTTCGATTCGAATTTTGGTCTCGCTTGACTAATTTTTGTTCTGTGTATTACCCTTTTATGTAAATAGACATTTATCTAAAAACCGTTTGCCTTGCCTTGCCTGGATTTGAGCCTTTTGAATACCTAATCATATCAATTTGGATTTAGCCTAGTCGAATTCTATATACATTAGACAATCATTTTGGTCTGCTGTACGATCGTTTCTCTCACTTTTTTCGTGGCTAAATATATTTTCTATGTATATAAGTGACAAGACAACCTCACTAAACATAAGTTTTGTATATATATATATGTATGCCATTTGTTGTAAGCTATATAACAAGAATACACACCAAAAATGTTGAATCGTATTCCTCTATATATGTGTATATATTTGTGTATGTACGCTTTGTTCAAAATAGTTTTAAACCCGATTTGAATGACCGACTAAATTCCTTGGACTAAGCAATCGCCTATGCCTAAAACTAATTGGTTTGCTTGGCTTAAGTTCTAAGTGTTGTTTTGTTGGTAGTACCCGTACTAGTGTCGAACAAATCAAATCTTCAAATCGTCAAATCGTCGAAAGTGTTCCGACTAATCCATCAAGTAGCTAAAACTGCGACGCTTAAGCCGGCTGCTCAGAGCCGATCTGGAGCGTGTCTTTAACCTTAGTTACCCGGACTTTATCCACCGGTCAATGGAGTACTCCAGTGCGGATATCCAGCTGTGAATAAAATAGAAAGTCGAAAAGAGTTCTTGAAAATATTTGTATCACAAAATAAAATTCGAAACAACGACTTAATTTTAGATATTAATGTTTAAAAACAATGATCCTGTGCCGATTTTCCAGCACCATATCTGGAATGGAGAGACGGACAAACCAGGAACCCTTATTACTTTAAGCTCGTAGCCGAAAAATTAAAAATTATTAAAATTAATAATCAAATATCCTCGAAGAATTTTCGTATAAATTATTTTTCCGATTCTTTCTTATTTGTCTCCGGGCACAAAAAAGAGACTTACGGGAAAGATTCTTCCCGACACCTTGAAAACCGAGAGTAGATCGACTTTCCTAGTGATGCTGATCAGGAATATATAGTTTTTATGGTAGGAAATGTAACTTGAATGAAAGAGCTTGTCCCATTTAGTTGAACATCTATTAGGATACGTACCGCTTCTTATCCATTTCGCTTTCGGTGCAGAAAAAATAGTGACGCAATTTCGTTTCTGGTGGTATTATCTCGAACGAGTTCTTCTTGCCGGATGCATTGGCGGACATTGAGGCCACTTTGTAGCCGTGCAGGCAGGCCATGCCTGAGTAGAGAAATTGAAATTGAATTAATTGCTGGCCAGTCAGTCACCTGTTTTGTATCAATCCGTCTGCCGTTCGAGTTGACTCACCGAATGCACTCTTGCTATTTGCATCTTGGTAAAAATAGAGGCAGGCATCCTTAAGAACGCAATAGCGTTTCGACCATCCGCACCACCTTGAGCCCAATTTGAGTAGGTATCCGAAGCAGTCGGGCCTCTGAATGTTGGTGGGACTCTGGTACAGGCACCTCGCGCTATAAGGGAAGTGATGTGAGAGAATGGATCACTAGGATAGTCGAAAAGGTCTCCAAGATCAATGAAACCGCACCTTTTGTCCAGCCACTGGTTGTCCTGCGAGGCCGCCTGCCGCAGGAGTTGGAGCCATCGGTTGGCCAGCTCATCGGAGTCCGCAGCCACGTACATGGGAATACCCTCCCCGGCATCCACTTTGAAGGCAAACGGCTTGCCCACATCCACAGGACACAGGTCCACCGTGTGCTTGGCCATTATCATGGCACCAACGGGCTGCGAGTCCTGCAGAATTAGTAAATCACAATATAAATGTCAGATAGCTATAGAAATAAGTGTTACACACATAATAAAATATATTAAGAAACAAAAAAAATAAAATCATAATCTTTCAGCACCAATTCAATAGTTTCAATTTAGTTTTAAAAATAAAAACAAAAATAATACAATGTTCCTAAATCATCAAAAACCATTATTATTTCGAAAGTCATTTTAAAATAAGTAAGTGTTTACCTATTATTTCAAATAAAAATCTTCTGAACTTAATTTTTCAAGCATTTCTAAACATATCAAGAAAAGAAAGAAACAATAATAAATTATCAAATTCATCGTCCTTACATAAAATTTGTTTGGAAAATGATTAGGTATTTAAGAATCAAAATTTTATAAAGTCATGATTATATGCAAATAATCATTTTTAACAAAACGGCTTACATATAATTTCATATTAAAATCTTTTTATGTAGAGAAAAGTATGCGAATTTCGAAATTAAATAAATTTGGATTTACTCTTCCCTACAAATTGCATATAAATCAGATTATTTCATAAGCAAATATAATAAAAAATCTCAACAAGCCATTTAAAATATAAGTTTGGAATGACTCTTATTTACAGAACCTGGAATATATTAAATACAATTTAGTTAACCAAAATTCTAACTAACATCGTTAGTTTTGGGAATGTGAATACAAATTCAAGTCATACAAATGCATACTCACATCTTCTGTTTTGTAGTAGTAGAGGCAGTTATCGGGTCTCAGGGAGAACCATCGTCGCACCCATTTCTTGGAGTTCGGGGCTCCCTTGGCCTGACCACTCTGCCGCCACAAATATCCACTGAAAATGGGTTGACTTGGCGGCTCCAGTTGTTCGTGCATCAGCACTCCAATGGTCCGTGCCACCTGCAGTTCCAGCTTTTCGCAGCCATCGTGCGCGATTTTGACCACCTCGGTGTGGTGCTTGTCCAGAACCTGAACCCCGTTCACCGAGATGATGATGTCGCCCACCTCCAGGCCGGAACTCTCCGCCGGAGTCTCCGGCTCGATAGCAGCCACTACCACGGGCTTGGATCCATGAATGCGGAAGCCAAATTCACCGGAATCGCTCTTGACCACCACAGTTTTATCCACGCCTAAAAGAGGTATATATATATATTAGATAGATTTAGATACACTTAAAAGATACACTTCAATTTAGATCATACATTTGGAAAAAACTTTTTAAATTAATTACAATAAAACATTTTGCATCTGGAAAATACCTTCCCGCAGTTTTGAGTAATCATTTGGAGACACAATTTGGGAAAAAATAATAACACTAAAACATATAGTGTTATTTCAATTTCTTCAAAAAAATATATATACATGAAATATAAAACATAAAAGGTTAATATGAATTGATCAAAATTTATAAAAAAAAAAACTTAAAGGTTTTTAAGTCTAGGATTTCAAATCGAGACAGAAGCTTTAAAAAACCATTGTTAGTTCCATATTAAAAAACAATTATTTTGAGGACTATAAGTAAAAAAAGCTAATAAAATTTTTTTAGATTTCTTTAAAGACAATACAAATAAAAATACAAGCATTTCCCATACTTTTTCTCAAGTGTAGACATGGGAAATTATTTATAGAGAGACAGAGAGAGATTTAAGTGATTTGTGTTATTTTATTTCCGGATTTCGTCCGGACATCATTTACCATGTGCACCGTTGCTAAGTGTGGATATCACAAATGTTTCGCGTGCCCAAACCAGGAGCATCAATTTCAAGACCTCCTCCAACTTTCGTCGAATCGAATCCGGCGTGGAATTTGACGCTATTAATTCTGTATAGTTATATTCATAAATAAAAAAAAAATTAAAACCCTTTACGGAGACGTTTGATTTCTTTTGTTGTTTACCCACCAATCATTTGGCCTGAGTATTGTGTAAACACCACGTAAATATTCCCAAAACTTTTCGCACTTATTTCTTTACATTTGGCTTTAAACCGAAGTACCGAACGGAACGCGTTGCGGATTTTTTATGGTCGGCACACAACAAAGCACGCACCTCAACTATTCTCGATAATAGAGCCAAAAAACTATGGGTTGTTTTTTTTTATTTCGGTTCTGTCTGATGGTCCCTACATACATATCTACTATGTATGCCAAGTGCCGGTCATGAAAACTCGGAGCGCCATGCCATTTGTTATCTCAAAAATTCTCCCAATTTTCTCTCAATCTCTCTCTGTGTTTCTCAGTAGAAAAGCACGCACGTTGTGCCAAAATTAGAATATTGTTTGGGTGTTCGAACAGGGTGTTTTTTTTTTCAATTTATTTTGGACTTACGAAAGCTGTTGTGCTTCTGGCGATGATACATTTCCAGGGTGCAACGCCGCTGGACGAGACGGTGGAGGATCACTTGATATTTGGCATGGAAGCCCTTTTCGGACTCCGTGGAAGCTCGACGTTCCCTGGAACGATCTATAAAAAAGGAAATACAATTTATAAAAATTTGCAAGTGACTCACAAGTAAGTAAAAGCAGTAAACTTAAGGGACAATATATTTCTTACTCTTTTGTTTTAAAATTTAATTTGACTATTTTTGGAAAAATTTAATTTAATTTGAATTGAAACAATGTTAAACTTAAATTGTTGCATTTTAAACAAACATAATTTTTATTAGTTCAGTTATATAGTAAATTTGTACATTTCAAATCATAATAACGCATTAGCTACTCCACACATATCGTTTGGCAGATCGCTTTCGTTGCAAATTTTCGGACTAACTTCTTACATGGATCTTGAAGTATATAGCATTCGTTTCTGTTTTCATCATAGTAATAAAATTTAGGAACTGGAAAAACATTCATTATACAGCTATTAATCCTTGGCTTTAGGCCGCAAACAGCTAGAAAAGTGATTGTTGATTATTAGTCAAAAACAGTTTTGTGTCGCTTAAAACTCACGATATTTCAGACCCACAACATATTCAAGAAATAATACGAAAATAATAGAAAGTACTGTTTTCATCTTTTTTGTTTGCTACCAAATGCAGTAAATATTTTCAATCTTACATTATTTTTTCATTTTTCTTTTTTTCAGTAACAACTGTGTCAAATAAAATTTGTCTTGGAAAATTTTTAGTTTAGTTTCATGTATCTGTTACTTTAAATGCCAATTCTTATAGAAGCAAAGACATTTAAGATATGCTATATGTATTTGGGTCTTGCTCATACAAATTGCACAAGTATTGCGATCTAAATTTTAAACAAACAGTAAATGCCTTTGCATAGAAAATTAAACCTTAGTTATCAAAAACGAATTCCACGTCATAAGTAATGCTTTTTCACTCACCAAAGCACTGATGGTCCAGCTGAGTCCACAAGTCATCATCGGTCAGACGTGTGTAGCGACCTGCGTCGTAGTGACCCTTATAGATGATGTGCTGGCTCTGCTCGGTGTTGATATCAGGCAGGACACAAGGACTCGAGCCAGCAGGACGCAAGACTGGGGTATTGGGCAAACTGGGAGCACGACCACGCTCCTCGCTCTGCAAAATAATAAAAGCTATTAATATCAAAAGCTACACCTCAATAGAATAAACTATTATGGTAATAATTAGGTTAGCAACAATAGTTACAGAAATAAAAGTCTCTTTAGATTTAGATATTACCTTTGCCCTGATGTTCTCCTGCCTGGTTTTGTAGTGCCTGCCCCGTTCGCCGTGATATCGTTCCTCGGATCGGAATCGCTTGTCCATCTTTTTGTACAAACGCTGGGTGGTCTTGGTGGTCACTGGGGAGTCGGCAAAGTCCGAGGGTGGCTTAACGATGTCCTGTTCGATGTAGGGTATCGATTCGACCGAGTCCCCAGCCAGTTCGCTAATGGTGTTGCTCTGCTGCTTGCCCTCCATTTCCTTGCCACAATGGAGGCAGTGACTTTGCTCGCCACTGGCCGCATTTCCATCGGCTTCGCTGTAGAACACTGAATCCGAGCCTGGTGACACGGACCGCAGGGACTCTATGGACTTGGCTTTGAGTTGAAAGGTGTCCGAAGTGGATTTCGATTGAGTGCTGCTTATTGTGGGCAGTTTGGGCGAGAGCAGGGATGTGGGCGTGGCACAACTGTGTGGTTTCTTTACTGTCAACGGTATAACTCCTGCTTCAAGTTGTGTGGTCATCAAAGACTCCGATGCTGTCACCTTCGATGTTGATGAAGGCACACTAATAAAAAAATTAAATAGTAGAAATTAAATTACTATTAATATATACTTCTATATTAAAATTAAATATAAAATAATAATATCAATTACAAAGTATTATATTAGAAATGTCTCCACCTTTGAAATAAATTCATTAATCTAATATGGCTTACATTTAAATTACATTTTCAGATATTACCGTAATAAAAATAACTAATAACAAATCGAAAAATATTTAAATTGGGTATTAATTAATAGATTTAACTACGTTTTTTTTACCTGTGTAATGATGTTGAGGTTGTAGTGGTAGATGTCCCTGCTAAGGCGCCACTTGTTGTCCCTGGTTGGGCGCCACTTATTGCCCCTGCTTGGGCGCCACTTGACATGCTGGCATCTAGTAGCAACTCTGTGTCGCCACTGCCGCTGCTCAGGCCAAAAATGGTGGGTGTGGCGCGACTCCTTCGCCCCGCTGCCGCCGCCAGGACATCCTCCCGTGAACTTTTCCTCAACTGTCGTCGAATCTTGGGTCGAAAGCGTTTCATCTTGCTGGGACTGCTGCCATTATCCATGGATCCTGGTACCTGTTGCTCTGGTGAGGTGACCTTGCTCGATGATCCTGTGGGCTTTTTAATGGGACTGGTCAGGGCACGCATATTCTCCTTTTCAATGTCCAGTTTCATGCTGGTTTTGCGCCGCTTCCTTTCATCTTCCTGTCGAATTCTCCGGGCTTTGCTTCGCATGCCCTGCTCTTCGTCGTCGTCGTCATGAGGACTTTCGTAGTACCCTGAAGACGAGTATCGCATTTCGCTGCGCTCATCTTCTGATATTGAATCGGGCTTGGGCTTAACTCCGGGCGGCACACTACTTTCCGCCGTACTGACTTTCATTTGAGCTGTACCCAAGCTGATCACCGTTTGTGTTTGACTTTCTTTGGCTGGAGATTTAATGGCTGCTCCGGAGACGGGACAACTTCCCGAAGAGGTGGTGCTACTGATGGAGTGCGAGGGCGATTTCCTGGTCAACTCAGCCACCGAACCAATGGGTGACTTGAGCTGGGATTTGGTCAAAGTGGCCTGCTTATCCCTCTCCTTTTCGTCATGTTGCAGTAGTTCCTCCCTCATGGAGTACAACGAACTGGCGCTTTCGAAGGAACTTCCGGCATGTGTCTTCTCCAACTGCGAACTTTGTGTGGAAACTGTGAAATAAGAAGGGGTTTTCAGCCAGTTACTAAAGCTGTTTTTAAGCAAATTTCTCGAGTACAGCTAAAGCATTGCGGGCAAGGCATCATAATCATCAGGCATCAACAACATTAAAACTAGGGAGGAGAGAGATAGATTTAGACAGACAAAGTTGAGGTGTGGCAGATGAGTCTACAATCTATAAGCTATATAGGCTGTATAACACTAGGGCAGTAAGCATGGTGGCGGTGAGAGTACATGGTGGTGGATTGGTGGTGGCCACAAAAACACATTTCGATTCGATTTGGTAGTAACACTCATTCATGGATCAAGATTATTAGGTTATGTTCTACACACAAACACAGGAACAGGAACAGGAACACACACAGCACGAGTACGAGTACGAGTACGAGTACGATTACGGGTACGAGTACGTATCGGAGGGCCCAAACCTGGCACTTGTGTGGTCGACGATGAACTGGTCGTTGTCGGCGGTGTCTTAATACCTGGCGTTCGTTTCGAGGTGTCCGTGCAGGTGGCATACTCATCTGTATTCGTACTGCACTCCGATATATCCGCACTCCGGACGTAATCTGTAACGCCCATTGGCAGGAACGAAGCATCCGAGTGTCTGGAAGAGAGTTTAAAATACATTACTTATTCTTGGTTTGTCAAGCTTCTTAAATCCTAAAGGCTTTTAAATTTTGTCTTAAAAGTCTGATTTCATCGTATTACATACAATTTCGTTTGCATGGTTTTCAATTAAATAGTAAATGATTAAATATTTTTTAAATATAAAAAATCAGAATGTGTAAAGAAACCTTAACAAGGTGTTTGGTTCAATTGAAGTTAAGCTAAATGATATTTAGTATTTAGTATAAAATGAAAATTTGTGATAATATACTCGGTTAATGTAAGTCTTTTTTCAAGTTGATAAATTAACACAATTTTAAGTGTGTTTTAAAAACTGTATTTGTTATAGCTAAAAGTTTATTATACATAAAGAAGTCCTATTAAAATTCTGGTAAAAAAACTAAAAGTCATGATTTGATAATCATATTGAAGGGATATAAATAGTTTGCTTTTTCTTACTATATCACAAAGCATACTTTTGGGCAAAAGATAAATATATCTAGCACCATATATTTTTTAGTAACCTTTGCTTGGCAGCTCCGCCTATAAACATGAGCTGTCGGGCATCCGGAACCGATCCCCTGGCCACCATGCTCCTCTTGGGAAGTGGTGAACATATAGAGCTGTCCAGTATCTGATTCGATGATGGGGTCACAGCGATGGCTGGTGGCGGCATTAGAGGTTGAGTGGAAGTAGGCCTCGATGCGGTTGGTGTGGGGGTCTTGATGATCTTCGGCAGTGTTTGTAGGCCATAGGTGGGGCTCTAAAAGGGTAATTTTAGTTAAATTACTTTATAATATATATATTTCATAGAGCTGCTGTCAATACAATAGTAGTGGTACAATCTAAAACAAACGTTTAAGGCAAAGGACAACTTTTCTAGTAATTTATTATAATGCTTTCTTAGCAACACACCATATGAGGCTTAAGAAACCTTGAATATTTTTTAAGGAACTTTTAAGATGTAAATAATTCGCTAAAGTTTAATAACAATTTAAGAAAATAACTATATATCCTTGTGTGTCTGCACTTTCTATTTAAATAAAAATAATTTTATTATCTGATCTATTTTTTTAAATACAAATCTTAAAACAATGTTCTTATCAATATTTCTTCGTTTTTCAATTTCTCTTGTAATTTATCATTAATAAATATATAAAAATTGTTTATATTGTCAAAGCTGCTTCTAAAATATTTTTGCTCTTTCCATAAGCTAAAAAACTACTACTATTTTGACCACAACTGTGTACCCACTTGTTCTTCAAAATCCAGGGCATCGGTGTCCACCGAACTTCTTTGCTGGTGCTGCAGCAGTAGATTCTTCCTTTTCGACGAGGGAGTCAATAGCAAATTGGAGCTATACGATGCATCGGATATATCGCGATGTTCAGCCGTCAAGACAGTGACCTGCGACTCGTTCCAAATGCCATCGGAATGATCGCGTGTGTTGTCGTTGGCCAGCGAGTCAGAGGATGGATAGGTTGAGACATTGGCCAGCAGTTCGTCGCGGCAAGGACTCGCTGGAGTGGATGGCAATCGCAGGCCAGGAGTTGGAGTTCCCGAAGTCTTCGCCTCATAGTCATCATCCAGGCTCACAGAACGCTTGCGGAACTGAGATCTCTTGTCTTGAATATCCCCCAGTTGCGGTTGCGATTCCACGCGGTAATTACATGGTGTTATGTTCTCGTAGAGCGGCTCCTCATCCTCCGGATGATCTGTCTCCAGTTTCTGCTCATCCTCATCGATTTCCTCCTCAACGTCTTCCTCTTCGGGCTCAGAGACTTCATCCTCATCATCCTCCTCATCACTGGGCTCCAAATCCGCTTTTCTAACCTCAACTTCGACCGATTTCAGTTTTGGCAAAGTTAAAGCTGCTGCCTGGGCCATTCTTTGTTGCTGCATTTTTCTCATCGCAATTTCGGCCTTATGTTGCTTCCTGTGCTTCAGTTGCAATTTAGGACTTGGCTTTGGCGAAACGTGTGGCTTGAAATCTATAAATATTTCCTGCTCATCTCGATCTCGAACCGCAGGTGCACTGACAGAAAAATAAAATAGTAAAATTTCTATGTATTTAACATTGAAATTAAATATGCAATTATAATTATAAATACAAGGCATTTTAAATATCAATGCATTAATGTTAACATTAAAATTGTTGATTACAATGCATTTAAAATTGCATGACTTAATATGAAAATATTTTAATAAATGTGGAAAATATTAGATCTAAAATGATTATATAATGCATGTTTAACGCATGATTTAATATTAAAGTATTTTAATTAAAAGGAAAAGTATTTAAAGGAGTTAATATTTGATGTAAATGTATTTTATTTAAGTAAAATATGGTTATAATTTAGATATTGAAATTAATTCCAAAAATAGTCAAAATAAAAACTTATAAAAAAGTGCAATATATAAAATACCTAAAATAGCTTAAGTTGATGAAAATCGAAGCAAAAAATATTTTAATTGGGTACAAAAAGATGGATTTACTACGTGTTCTTAACCAGTATACTTGGGGTATTACCTGAGTGGCTCATCCGGAAAACAGCTGACCTTGTCGCGCCTTCGAAAGGATGTTCTCGGCCCGAAGCCATCGATGAGCTTCTCGGTTTGCCCATAGACCGGCATGGATTGGCGTCTCAAGTCATCGCGACGAAATGGGGAGTCAATCATTTGGGGCAACATGGACATTCGGCGATGTTGGGCAGCCTGTTCCATGCAGACCTCCGAACTATAACTCTCCGTTTCGTGGGGATGATCCTCCTCCTCCTCGTAGTACTCCTCCACATCCACATCCACATCGACATCCACATCAACATCCACATCGTCGTCGTTCTTGCAGTACTCACTTGGTGGCGGCAATAAATGCGATTGGCTAAAGTCGAGGGGCACATTCTCGGCCATGAGTTCCGATCCCTCTGTAATGTGTCGCCTGGGCAGACTATTCGAGAAGTAATCCGTATGCGAGGTGCTCGTTCGTCGAGGCAAACTGTTGCTCTCGTAGTCGAAGCTTTCATTCAGAGCCACTGCCGCGGCATTCACATTCACATACTCCACATTCTGTTCGGAGGGCGACGGTCGAGTCCTGCTCAGGTGCTCCATTCCCAGGCCATAGCTATGGGCATCCAGCAAAGGTGGCGGCGGTTTGTAGTACATGATGTTGTTCTGGGCATCCGAGAGGGTCTGCAATGGCACCACATCCTGCGACTGAGTGCGGTAGATGATCTCGTGGGGGTAAATCGAGCTGTGGATGGAGTGATCATCAAATATTACTCTTTTTTTTTTAATTTAAAATTTTTATTTTTTTTCCAAAATAATTTAAATCTTAATTTTAATAGGGACTCAGGAATAGCTAAAATATATAGTAAGTTTTGGAAATCAAAAACTTTATTTATATTAAAAAATATTAAAATAAATAAATTAAAAATACAAATAGGAATCAGATTAATTACTTGAAAAATGTAATTATTTATTAAAAAGTAGCAAATTAATTTAAATCGGATTTTTGATAATAATTTTAGAGTTCGGAAGATTTTTTAAAATAAAAAATGTACTTTAAACGAAATGTTGCTGTATTCAATTTTATTTAAATCATAAAATGTTAGTATAAAATTATGAATCAAATAAAACCTACCCATATTGATACTGATGTGATGGCAGCTCCTTGCCATTGGGTATTTCGGAAAGGCTTTTCGTTAGTTTCTTGCCATTCTGGAGACCATTGGTTTGAGCCCCCTGGGAGACCACCTTAATGCGATGCGGTGGCCGAGGACTTAAGGCCAGAACTTGAGTATTATAGCCAACTTGACCCTGTCGACGGGCAGCGGCATCCGTTTGAGTGGCCTGCGTCTTCATGGCATTGCGGAACTTCTTCTCCACGATGAGAACTTCGGGACTGGGCAGTGGAAGAGCCAAAGGCAGAGGCTGTGGTATAATCAGGCCAACCATGTTGTCTGAAAAATTAAATAATTATATAATAGTTTATAATTTAAAAGTTATAGAGTACATTCAAATTATTTAAATCAGAAAATTATAAATACAATTAAATAAATATGATGGAAGTTCGGCTTCGTACTTATGAATACTTATACTTATACCTAACCTAAAACCCACTTTTTATTTAAAAGACATAATTTGGTAAGAGTACCTTTGTCGAACCTGAAGCTCCTATTAATTAATCAGTTAATTCCTCACCTGGAATCGGTTGGTGGAGGTGGATTGGGGCATGGTGGTGCTGGCAGGGTTGCAGTTGAACTGGTGGTGGCAGCCAGGTTTTTGGCAGAGTGGAGCTTTGCTGTGGCTGTGGCATCTGCTGCTGACTGAGGAGCGGTGGCTGGAGGGTCTCGTACATGGAACCCGTGGCAATAATCGGCTTCTTGCCCCCAATTAAACGCTCCTGACTCCGGGCGGTTTTCAATCGCCCCGTGGACCGAAATCCGGCATTCACATTGTCGAAGCTGGTGAGTGTGTGGGATCTGGCGAAGCTCACGTGCTTGGTTCTGTGGAAAACGAATTTTGTGAAAGACAATTTCTAGAGGAGATTATTCTTCAACTTACCTCACATTTCCGGCCTGTTGCTGATGATGATGTTGGTGATGAGTGGTTGGCATTGTGGCATAAGTGGGGCAGTGATACGAGCTGTGGAGTAAGCACATTAGCAGAATATTAACCAATTTCCCCTAGCTACATTTTTAGTTAACACACAAGCATTTTTAGTTAATTTAATTCTTTTAATTTTAACAAGATTTTTTTTTTGGATTTTTGCTTTGGTCACGTGCAGACACATAACAATAAATAAACATTTTTAGTTTAGCGCACTTTTTTTAATAGAGTTTTTGTTCAGCTTCTTGCATATATATATATATCTTATTTAAGTATTTTGTTAGATTTTAGATCACTTTACATACCAAACATTTAGATTAGCGATTTGATTGGTGTGTGATGTTGGTGGTGTAGGATTTGGTGGAGCGCAAAGCTCGACATAATAATTCCGTAGCAAAACATCCTGGTAAAAGGATTCAAGTGGTGCTGTACAACAAGTTGCCCTTTACACATTTTGATCATTTCATTTAGTATTTGGTGGGGTTTTGATTTGATTTTGGCAATATCAATTGTTAAATTTTGGTTGATTTTTACAGTTGTTTTTTTTTTTTGGTTTTTGAGGAGAGAAGGACAGGTGGATGAATAACGAAAAAGTATTTTTATACAGCATTTCTAGTAGGGTGTTTATCAGTGGTTTTTCGAGTGGTTGACAAAAACTTGTTTGGAGGCAAAAAGCGGCATAATGCAAATGGATGATTCGGAAAGTGGAAAGTTTCGGGCAAGCATTGCGAGCGTTTTTCATATATAGTACATACAAGACAATATATAATAGTGTATATATATTGGGAGAGTCGGGGTGTATAGCGAGCGACAGAGAGTTAGTGACTACAGAAAGTGCGACAGTTAAGCATGATCTAAGCGACAGTTGGCATAGCATTTTACGGTTTTTAATTTGGGTATTTTTTTTTGGTTCTTGGTTATCTGTTTCTGTATTATCGATCTGTAATATCGATCAGGCACTTCATACCTGTGGTCCGATTGGTAGTCGGCGTTGTTGTTGGTCATCTGCTGCTGCTGACCAATCCAGGTGTAACGACCACCCGGATCCGCTTCACCCGATTTACCAGTGCTCAAAATCGAAGCCGGTTGACGGCGAAAATAGGAACTTTCCAATTCGTGTGTGTCTGTGTAGTTGTTTTGGTAGCTACAAAATGGGTTGATACGAAATTATTGTTAATAACGGAGTATAGATTTTGAACCATTGTAGACGAAATTAATTATAACTATATACCACAGATTTTAAAGGAGATTTCAGTGGATGTCTTTGGTACAATTAGAATTTTTCACATAAATACGAATTATTTTATAGAGTCTAATATATTTATAAAAACGAAGGATACAATAATTAAGGTGTCACGCTTCACATGAACATATCTGTGGTAACCTCAGAAATTTGTTCTTTTTTTGAGATCATTATAATTTGAATGGATATAACTGTGACATTTATGGAAATATTTTCAGAACTCGATTAAAAATGACATATTTTTTTTATTACAATTTCTACCCACCGTGGATATTTCTCAAACGGAGCATAGGCGGCCAGATTCTCATCGGAGGGCACTCGACGACCGACACAACCGCCCAAAAAACTGCCCGATTGCGTTTGACCACGACGCGAAAGGCAGCCAAAAAATCGTTCCCGCCTAGGACGCTGCTCTATGCTATGCAGCTGGCGATCTGTGAGGCAGTACTTTAAAAATATTCAAATTAATTAAATAAAACTTTCTGAATAACATATTTAACAAACCTGTTCCCTAATATCTCCGCGTGAGTAGACTGAAGTGCGAGGCTGTAGCTCCGAGGAGAGTGTGTGGCGAAGTCTTCGGCGACCAGTGTGTTCGTCTTCGGAGTCGTAGCTGCGATCCATGTGGCTGGAGTAAGTGGTCTAGGGATTACATTTTAACAAAAATTAATAATATATTTTCAAATATTTTTTTTACGAACGCCTTTAAATTGTATGTTGCTATTATGGTACAACCAGTCGTATACTTAACATTGCATTTAATAAGAGGACAGGCATAAACTCATCATACAACTATTTTAAGTACATGTTATTACATTATAGCTAAATTAAAATTTATGACCAATTTAAGAATCCTTTTTTGTGTTCTTCTCTAAAATTGGTCTATTCGTGTTGAGGCCCAACCTGTCGTATACTTAATATTCGGTTTAGAAGGGAGTCAGGTATAAAAACATTATGTACCTATTAAAAAGGCAAAAAATATATCCAGGACAGCTTTAATTTTTTTTCAGGGCTATATTTTTTAAATTTAAATCTGTATTTTTTATTGTTGTAATATAAGTACGTATACGACTTCTTGACATTATCGCAGCTTATTTTCATATAATCTATTTTTTGATAATTAAATTTAATTAATTTTTTTTTTATTTTTCTTTTTTGAGTTTCTTTAAGAATGGAAAACTTACTTATTTCAGTTTGTTTTAAAAAACGTTTTTGTCTTTCCTAAAGAATTATATTACAGAAATTCTCTTAGAGTTTTGTGTAATGTGTTTTTCTAAAAATGTATTTTGCCTGTCAGATTACTTTTCTCACTTAAAGTATATCCAACTTCACTTTTCTTAGTGTTCCTTCTACTGTTGTAATGGTTTTATTACTCCGCTTCTTTCCCTGACTAATCCTGTCTAATCCCTTAATTTCTCTTCTAGTTTCTGCTGTGCTATCTTAAGCCCCCTAATTTCTCCAGCCACTTGCATGCTGAGCTGTCTTTTCCTGCCCTCTAGATTTGTACCAAAATAATTGTGTCAATCATACGGTGTGACAGCATCTGCTTCCCGGAATTTTTCAGGCCTGACAGAAATTAATTTTACTCGCCGCACACTTTGTGGTGTTTAATGTTTTGCGTTTTTGGCCGAGGTGCTCTATGTGAGTACGAACCTTGGTGGAGACCTCAATGTTGCCCAATGACACAGCATGATGCAGACCTGTAAATGAAATGGCTGTTGTTTCATTTTGCCTTGCCAGTCGAATAAAACATGGGCGCACACATAAAAGATGTGTGATTATGTGCCTTAGAGCCGGGATTTCCAAGGACTCACCAGTTCCAGTCGTTGATGATGTTGATGATGTTCTGTTGTTTGTGCCACGCAAGGCAATATCCATTTTCAAACGGCAACAAAAGAAATAAAATGCAAAAGAAAAGAAAAGAAAAGCGAAACAGGGGCAAACACACACACACACACGTCAACTCCTATATATATGCTGGGAAATTGTGCTCTTTTTGTTTTCGACTCTATTTTTTTCGTGTCAATTGTCTGGGTGAGGCTTTGAAATCCTTGACTTCAGCTGCTCCATGTTGACTGCTTCAATATTGATAATTAAAAAACATAATTACTACAAGTGCGGCTGTTGTTGTTCGTTGTCATTTGAATCGCTTTTCCAGTTTGTATACTAATCTTCGTGGACTTATGCAAGGCAGTCAGCAATCGATATTCGCGCTGGCCAAAAAAGCGATGGAAAAGCCGTAGGAAAAACGCAAACTCTACGTTTTTTCCACCGAATTCAATTTTGTTGGGTCCTCTTCCGCGTTTTTAATTTGCGTTCCGCTGGAGCTGGGTTTCGCTGCGGTCTTGTTAATTATTCTTAAATTCCGCTGAGTTGACTGCTTTTCGCAGGGTCTTCCTTTCTTCCATTTTTTTTTTGGCTGGGGTGTGTGTGTGTGCTCCTAACAGTTTTCACGGATTTTCCGGTCCCCAAAACACGCTCCTCACTCGATGGCGCTGATGCTGGAACTGAAACTCAGCCACTGAAACTCGCATTTTCCGACGCACTGACAAAAAGAGCGAGAGATTTTCATGCGAATTTAAGAGAGTTTGCCTGGAAGCGAGGCAAACATAAAACAGATGTTCGGCATCTGGTGCGTTTTGGGGGGAGGTTGGTGGGTTTTCCGGACTTTCGGGGGATTCTGCGACTGCAAAAGCGCAACAATGAAAATGCCTGGAAGTAGGCATGCGTTTGCGCATTAGGGCTCGACGAAAAAGGCAGCAGGACGTATGTCAACAAGGCAGACAGTCGGCCAGGACATGCCATTGCCATATCCTCATGCCTCGTCCAGCTATTATTTCAGGAGCAGAGAACGGAGGAAACAGAAGAATCAGCAGCATCGTCACGTAGCCAACGGCTAAATTTCACTTAGAACTCGTTCGAGGCGTCCACAAAAGTTGACTTCACACGGCTTCCATGTCTGGCTGTAAGGCAAAAACATGTCTAACACAATGTGCACAGCAACAAATTGAAAACCACTTCCATTGTAATTGATTTGGGATTGTATTTCTGTGTGCACCGAAATGTTTTTATTAAAATTCTCTATTATAAGTAATACCTCTTAACGAGATACAAATTTCTGATATCAAATTTTGTGACGAAAAATTCTTTTAAAATTTAAAATTCGAATATGTTTCCTATGACGGTTTTCGAACGAAAAAGTTGTTCAGACTATAGTAGATTTAGCGTTTTTAGTTTATAAATAAATAATATGCTTAATATTGTCCTCTAAGGATAACAAAATCAAGATAGACATGGATATTTTATTTCATTTTTGCGGAGTTCCCCCATATTATCAACTTCTACAAAGCTTTAATCGAGGCAAGGAAGCTTTTATGCCCTTGCGATGAATTTAATTGGTTTTTGTGTGTGAGTGCCAGAGCGCTGTACTCCGGCACTAGGAGTAGTTAGGTTAATTTGCTTGAGATATCTGCCACAAAATGAAAGAACAAAGGCGAAGTTGCCACTGCATCATTTCAACTAAATTACTACGAAGTTTCCTATGGCATACTTTTGGGGGGAATTAGGGGACAGAGGTCATAACAAAATTACAACGGCTACGGCAAACCACGAATTTAGGTCTGCTTTATGGCATTAGGACACATATAAAACGTTTGAAGATTCATTTTGCGGAAGAGGAAATGTGCGAGGTAAAACTTTTTGTGGTTATTTAAGGCGGTGATAACCTTTAAGTTGTCATACAAATCTGTGGCACATTTTTAATGCCCTTTCAATGTTTTTTTTTTATAGGTAATAAAGGTAGTGAAAATAAGAATTCATTGCTACAAGAACAATGTTCTTATTACTGAATCTTTGCTGTAAAACTCCTTAAGAATGCAAACATAATTAATGTTTTAATAATAGATTGTTTAATACTGATAGATGACAGAAACGAATCGGTATAAAGTAACAAAGTGCCATTTTTTGTTTAGCAACATAATATAAATAGGAGGCGTTGAAAGGCAATTCCCCCTCATCGTTGTTTTCCCTGTTTAAGAGCTGAGTAAACCATAACTCATATGGGGCTGACTTTGCTTAGTCAACAAGTTGACACGAGAGGTTAGCCCTTGCCCAACCAAATCTCACTCACCACATCTGTGCAAGTATATCTCCATAAGCTGGGCCAATCTTTAATCAGTTATGTAACCCGAAATGGCCAGACCGAAAAGCCCCAACCATTTCCTCAATATAGACGACGATAGTTTCCGTTGCACGATGTTTGCTCCGAGCCCACAACTCCTAAGGCAACGAAATCATCCCCAGTTTGAGCCTATATCCCCAAAACCAAGATGTGTGTGCGTATGTGTGAGTTGGCCTACACAGCAAAGAATTGCTAAACATTTAGTTTAACATTTTTTAAATACAAATTCAAAATTTTCACTTAGAAATAACTGGTACGCTTAAAATGATATGTACAATAAATTGAAATGCTCATTCTTGTCTTATAACTTTAAAAACGAGACATTTTTTCTCAGTGTTGGCAAGTAAGCCAGCAGCAAATTGTCTTATGGGCCCTGTGAAGTTTCGCGCCGTGGCAGCGCTTACCACGCAAATACTCAGGCTTTCTCGCTTCGGCGACTTAAATGTGCTTTCGCCCCGATATTAAGGCAAATATCAAGCATACGCACTGTGGCCCGACGGCCTGGCATAATGCATGAAAAATTGAGCATGTCATTGACGATGTGCTGTATGCTATACATATATATATATATATGCTATATGTGTCTGCCCGATTTTCCCCGGACGGCTGTTTACAGTCTAGGCACGTTTCGTAATGGGGACCCCGGGGTTATGTGCACACAATATATGCAACATTAAGGGCCGGTCTTGACTTTGCCTAGGGTAAACTTTTTAATCGCACCGGCTTTAGAGGGCTGCCTCTCTTTTGTGGATTCGTGTGTCTCTGTTTGCCCGCACAAATTGACGCTTTATGTTAATGCCATTAATTAATAAATGAAATACGACATTCACACTGTTGAACCTGTTTATTAAATTTTAGCACGTAATAAATGAAAAGTTTATCGTGGCCAAACGAAAGTTCTGGCACATTTTGGGATTAAATTGTTCAACTTACCCGACATTTTGCGGTTTTTTGGGTCTCCCCTCAAAGTCAAGAAACAAATTGAAAAGGATTGAATGAGTCGAGGGGGTTTTCGTTTATGGTTTCTTTATTAACATTTATCACACTAAACTACTAATGATAAAGAGTTACAAATATGAGTTGCTGCGCTTAGGTTTTTCTCTGAAAAATTTCACGTATCTAAATTTCATCAGATAAAAATTGTTTTAGCTACAAGTTGTACCTCAAGTTGGTTAGTTTTTCTCTTTTCATATTTCGGCAAAATTGCAAACAGTTTATGGTTTTTTGTTTATTTTTTGGCACATAGATATGCTTGAGGATGTAATGTAATAGTATTTTATGCTAAGTTTTTCGTATTCGCTGAACACAATTGGCGAAAAGGTAAATCTAATTAAATTTAAAGGACCTTGAAAGAAAATAATTTTTCTAAGAATTGTATAGATTTATTTAAACAAATGCTTACGTTTTTATTTCGCGTTTTATGGCAGTTGGTTTGACTTAAGTCCATTTATTTGTGCATTGTGAGGATTTTCAGTGGAAATTTATATACAAAGAAGGTGAGATGCGGGAAATTCGTATTTCATCTTTTATAGCCTTTAATAAATGTATAATTTCGTTTGGAAATTTTTATAAATTGGTTTTCCGTTTCGTTAGAAATTTGCATTTTGTTTTCTTTGAACATATTGTTTAAATTGGCTGGGCATTTTGCAATTTTTGTGTATGTTTCGATTGCCACTTTACTAGTTGATTTCAAAATTCACTTTATGCAAGTTTATTATTTTTCATGTATTATTAAGTGTCCCATGCTTGTTTATTTGCTTTTTTAAGCCTTTGAAATATTTCATTTATTCTGTTGATCTTTTTTCTGTTTTTATAGTGCCATTGATTTTTTCATTTATCCATTTTAATTGTATGTAATGTGTCTTTGTTATTTAGCTGCCTATGCACTTGGCTTCTTTTTAACTTTCGATTCTTTTTATTAATTAATTACTAATGATTTACAAATTGGCTTTGCGTATTTTGTTTAATTTTTTTGATGTTATTTATAGGCAATATATTTTGTAATTTATAGCGGATTACCTTAGATGTTTTCCGATCGATAAAATTGGCGCAATGTTACTTTTGCAAATAAAATTGAATTGAATTGGGTGTTTCTAGTGAATATTGAAGCCCTCAAGCATTTTTTCTTGTCATGCAAACTATTTTTTATTAGAAAATCGCTTATATGAGCTCGAGAATCTAAAAAAGCACAGGTTTTCTTTCCGAGATTCAGAGCAATAAAATTTAGTGGTAATTTCTGCTTCCATTACAAAATGTTTGTAGTTGTCCGAAATGAATTTCTGGTCATGCCAGCCTCAATTAATTATGGCTATCATAACGGCAATAATTATTATTTCATATGCCTCATTTCGATTGGAAAATAAGGCGAATGTAATTTTCATTTACATTGCCCATTTTGTTTGGCCTCGTTCAGTAGTCCGCCGTTAAACGGGTCTTAATTATGCAGTATATATTGTAATTGTTATTGAAAAATAAAGTACTTGGCCGACACGAAAAACTCGGCACTCAGGACAGCTCAGCCTTGTCCTCCGGGAAAAAAGAGTCGTTTAATTGGATCGACTTTATGTCCATGTATACGTTCTCATTCTCGCTTGTATATTTAATCGGTAATCGGTTTTCGGTGGTTAAATTGTATGCACGTTTATAAAATGGACCATTTAAGAAGTTTGTTCGTTTTCCGTTTGTTCTCCGCTTCATTGAATTATCTCATAAATATTTATGTATTGGCCACAAGTTGAATACTTTTTGCTTGAGACAAAGATAAAGCTTTTCCGTCTGTCTGTTATCTCTATAATAATAATATTAATATGCTAATGAGTAAAAATTTCCATCCTAGCTTAGTACATGCGTTTGTGTAAAAGTTGAATGTGGATTTTCAGTGAAAAATTCATCGAGTTTCGTTTTTCGTTTGGGTGCTGCGGGACTTCAGTTACACTTTCGCCCTCAATCGGTTCGAGTTTTTAAGTTTACATTTCTAATAGAGCTACGACAAAAGACTAGAAGAGATCTGACAAATTGTGCATGCGATTCACGTAGTCGTGTGTGTTTGTGAGTGTGTGTGGTTGAGACCACAATACCAAAATATAAGTTTTATAGGACCCAATTGCTGCGGGAACCTCTCCGATTTTCTTCGCATTTTTCAGCTTTGCTTGTCACTGGAAAAAAGTGGAACTGAAATTTATTATATCGGCAGAGAAAAAATATTTCTAACAGTTAAAAATTTAATTTATTGTAGTTTAAAGGAATCAAACTAGGAACCAAGATTTATAAGAGCAACACATTCAAGGGCCACATAAATTTGTGGGACACTAAAATCACTTCGAAAGGTGTCTAGGGTATAAAAAGACCCTTGAATTAATGGCAAAAGACGACCTTTTTATTTAAATCAAATATAC